AATACTGTTTTCCACAATTGCTTCATAATAAAACAAAAGCATGCTGATGCAAGTCTTCAAAACTAAGCCCCACTAAACCAAAAAGTGCATTTAAAACATTAGTTCAGTTGTGTATTTCTATTTATTGCCTAATATGTTTATATAGAAAACCACCTCAAAAATCTTAGAATAATTAAGAGATTATCAAATTTCAAACATTTTTCCTTAACTACCAAATCCTGATTTTTTTTAAAAACAAAATTGTGATGACTAACTGCAGATTATTCTTCTAAAACCAGTATCTTATATTAGTGCTCTACTCCGATGTGCAATGGACCTTGTTGCTCTCTAGTGCTATGTAGTGCTGTCAAGCAATTAAAAAAATTAATTACAATTAATCACGATGAATCACACAGTTAAACAATAATAGTTTAAATATTTTTGGATGTTTTCTACATTTTCAAATATACTGATTTCAACTACAATACAGAGTGCAGTGCACACTTTATATTTATTTTGGATTACAAATATTTACACTGTAAAAAAATATATTTTTCAATTCACCTAATACAGGTACTATAGTGCAATCTCTTTATCATGAAAGTTGAACTTACAAATATAGATGTACAAAAAGAATGCATTCAAAAATAAAACAATGTAAAATTTTAGAGCCTGCAAGTCCACTCAGTCCTACTTCTCGTTCAGCCAATTGCTCAGACAAACAAATTTGTTTACATTTGCAGGAGATAACGCTGCCCGCTTCTTGTTCACGTCACCTGAAAGTAAGAACAGGTGTTCTCATGGCACTGTTGTAGCCGGTGCCGCAAGATATTTACATGTTAGATGCGCTAAAGATTCGATGTCCCTTCATGCTTCAACCACCATTCCAGATGACATGCATCCATGCTGATGATGGGTTAGGCTCGATAACAATTCAAAGCAATGCGGACCAACGCATATTCATTTTCATCATCTGAGTCAGATGCCACCAGCGGAGTGTTTATTTTATTTTTTTTTTTTGGTGGTGGTTCGGGTTCTGTAGTTTGCGCATCAGAGTGTTGCTCTTTAAAGACTTCTGAAAGCATGCTCCACACCTCATCTCTCTCAGATTTTGGAAGGCACTTCAGATTCTTAAACCTTGGGTTGAGTGCTGTAGCTATCTTTAGAAATCTCATATTGGTACCGTCTTTGCGTTTTGTTAAATCTGCAGCAAAAGTGTTCTTAAAATGAACATGTGCTGAGTCATCGTCCAAGATTCTATAACATGAAATATATGGCAGAATGCGGGTAAAATAGAGTCGGAGACGTACTATTCTCCCCCAAGGAGTTCAGTCAAAATTTAATTAATGCATTTTTTTTTTAAAACAAGCATCACCAGCATGGAAACACATCCTCTGGAATGGTGGCCAAAGCATGAAGGGGCATACGAATGTTTAGCATATCTAGCACGTAACTGTTTTGCAATGCCGGCTACAAAAGTCCCATGTGAATGCCTGTTCTTATTTACAATGTCACTTGAAAATGAGAAGTGGGCAGCATTGTCTCCCATAAATGTAAACAAACTTGTCTATCTTAGCAATTGGCTGAATGAGATGTAGGACTGAGTGGACTTGTAGGCTCTAAAGTTTTGCATTGTTTTGTTTTTGAGTACAGTTATGTAACAAAAAAATCTATATTTGTAACTTACACTTTCACGATAAAGAGATTTCACTACAGTATTTGTATGAGGTGAATTGAAAAATACTGTTTCTTTTGTTTATCATTTTCACAGCTCAAATATTTGTAATAAAAAAGATAAAGTAAGCAGTGTACACTTTGTATTCTGTGTTGTAACTGAAATCAGTATATTTGAAAATGTAGAAAAACATCCAAAAATATTTAATAAATGTCAATTAGTATTCTACTGTTTAACAATGCGATTAAAACTGTGATTAATCGCAATTAATATTTTAAATCGTGATTAATTATTTTGAGTTTATCATGTGAGTTAATTGTGATTAATCGAGAGCCCAAGTGATTTGACATGTATTTTTATATGCAGCCATCCTTCAAAGGCATCTACAACTTCCCCTTAACTTTTCTGATATTCCCTTTCTCAGAAATGAAATAATGATTTAATGGTTTATTCAACCTGACCCCATTACAGGTTCAAATGTTCCCCTCCAAAAGCCACTATAATGGGGCCTGATGATATACTCTTCTTAGAATACTAGAATGACAGCTGTATAAAGTCCTAAAAGTTTGCACTGCACATCTGGACTCCCAATAAATGATGACGGAGACAAATGCACATTGTGCCATGGAAGGGACAAAGTCAGATACTTTTAAACCCAAGATTTAGATTTTATTTAAAAATTGAAAAAACATCCCTTGTTAATACAATAGAAAATGTAAATAGTTTTTTTCCCTTTTAAATGTTAATAAAAACTTTGTTTGATTTTTAAACACCTTCCTGCGGTGTTTGATCAAAGGGAAAACTGAATATGAACAAGAACTGAACAATCTAGTTTCATCCTCCAAGTTGAGGAATATGCAAAAAAAATTTTAAAAAAATGTTAAATTTATCCAACTATTTCAGCTTTAATAATCAAATTTACTAATAACCCACACAGGGAAACTTATTGTTTTTTAAATAGTCATTTTTAACCCGAGTGTCCCTTTAATCATGTAATCAGGTTTAAACATATAATAAGAAAACATGATTAAGTGTTTATATATTATAAATCCTATAGAGCAAATGGGCTGCACCTTTTAGAGTTCTACCCAGTGATTGCTGACATTTTTATTTTCATATTTTTATTTAATACAATAAAGCATACTGACCTAAGACTTTCCAATATTTAAAAATGAATTAGGGCCAATTTTCAAATATCATGATTACACAATACAAAACATAACAGGAACCCATAGGATGTGTACTTTAACGGTACATACCGATTTAAAGTCTTGTTTCTCCCTTTCAAGATCTATTATAGCAGACTAACTACACTGTAATTTCATATCTAAACCTTAAAAATGGAAGACTGAGGTATGTCTTAAATGCAAATTTTCAAATAAATACTTTTTTTTTGGTTTTGGAGTTGTTTTGTTATAGTTTCCTATACAATTACAGAAGTCTTAATTGCATCAACCACTTTTCTAGAAAAAGCCTCAGATTTAAAAACTTGTTTTGTGGTTCTCATCAGTCAGACAGCATGTAGACAGCCAATGTATCTAAAGATCACTAAATTCATCCCATTACCTGTAGATGTCTTGTGTGCTTAGCCCCTTATTGTAGAAGTACAAATTGATACCATATTACATTCTTTGAAATTAATGAGGTTTGCTTTGGGCAGTTTACTTGAGCAGCCATTGTAAAATGCTGATTTTTTTTTCTGCCATCATATCTCTACAGTATAAACATGTTCAATGAGGCATTATAAACTTATCCATTCATTGCACAAAAGTAAAAAATGCATCTTGGTGTCTGCAATATAATTGCTATCTTATTCTAATAGTACTGCACACAACTAAGTTCTTTACAATTGTCTTTGAAGAACAGAATTAAATATTAAATGAAGATCTATTTATCCAATGGACAAAGATTCTTGAAAAAAATTGCCCTCAAGATCTCCCCCACGTTTCTTAACACACAACAGAAAATCCAATGTGGCACAGTCTAAACATTAACTATATCAACTGCTGTTTAAGTAATATTTTCATTAATATAAAATGATAAAACATAAGAACAAAATACTAATTTTGTCAGACTTACACTGGACTACTAAAACAATGGCAGCAGTAACAGACAGAGAGATACTTTATTAGTCCAGGGACCAAAAAAAATGCAAGCATTAAATTTAAAACTTACTACCATACCAGTGTTTAAGCTTAAGGTAAAAAGGATCTATGGCAATAAAATGATCAATCTCCATGCTGGCTCAGTTTTAGGCATCTGCTAAGAAGAGAATATTACCTGTGTCAAAATCCTGAAAAGAATGTAATGTGGTTTTACAGAACTGAGACCACCGTCCACCTGTACCTACTTGGTGCAACTGCACATACTCCAACTGCAGATGATCCCTGAGAGATTAATATTTTAAGTATTCTGTTTTCTTTGCCCAGTAAGAACACTTAGCCCCAAAAGACTCAGTTCCAATTAAGCATCTTAATGCTGTAAACTTAAAGAAATGCAGCTGTACATTTTCATGCCAACAAAAATCTCAAAAAATAAATTTAGGTAATTTCAAGGCACAACTACATTTGGTATTTCAGTAGATAGCAAACAAATTTAAGACAAATCATGGTTTGTAATTTCAGGCTGGTGAATACTGCAATTGCAGCACATTGATTTCACTGCCGGATGAGACTCTGAGCCAAAAGTGAAGATGGAAACCAAGGGAAGAGGAAAGGAAATCTGGGTTATAAGTGTGACAACATTTTGGATACCAATTAAAATGAACAAGCATCCAGCAAGAAATAGAAAACATGATTGTTCAGTATAAAAACCTGGATAAAAGTTGGATAAAATATTAAAATGCAGTGGAAATAGTTAAAATGCAATAACTACACACATAACTTATAACTCTGGGCTTTTCTGAGTTCTATTTAAAAAACAGTTTTGTTTCCTAAGTTTTGTTAGGACTTCCTCAAAAAAAGAACAAAAACAAAAATCTGCTCAACAATATCCTCTGTAGATAACATTATTTGAGACCCAACTATAAAGGAAGACTTGTTTACTTTACACTATGCAAAACCAAAGTTAGTACAAATGTAATAAATAGAGATTGTAAAAACATTTAACATACATTTTTATATTAAATTTTATTTACATTTAAGCCTCCAAAACTTTGTTTAATGGAACAATCTCCAAGAGAGAATGGTCCTTTAATTGCATTAAGCCTATTTAAACCTCAGGAGAAAGTCCATTGTCTAATATTTTTAAAAGAGTGATCAACAAACTGGTGTTAGTTGAATGTAACCTGAGTTATCGGTTATTTGAAACACTGAAAGAATTCCAAGAGTCTATACAGCTTCCCCACCTCTGTCTTCGCTGTGGAGGTGGCCTTTGTGTGTTTTTGTGAGGAGGTTCCACTGAATTCATTACAACAGAGATGGACATTTGATATTCATATCGTTCCAACATCTGAGCAATCTTCTCACGAGGGACCCCGTGTTTATTCCTCCTACAAAAATAATAATTTAAATAAACTGTTTGGTACTTTTTATATGTTTGCAGTCTTTCTTAAACTTTTGAAGAATATCGTGTGTTTTATCCTCTCCATCTATCCAAACTGTCAAATGCCATAATTTAATCTTCTGCCCACTTTCGAGATCCAGAAGGATCACATCGGGTTTTCCAACACTACAACTATTATTTAAGCTTACTGTTTTGAAATAAATTCACTACAACTGACTACACACTTCTGAAAAACAATATGCTGTAGTGTGTAGAAGTTCAGATTTAATTACACAGTATTTACCATTTTATAATATCCAAATTGTATTACATCTTTTTAACACAATTCATTGTATATACTGTACAAATATACAAATATATATACTTCAAAAATATAAAACAAAAGTATTTTCCTTTATACAGTAATGTGGTACTTTTTGTCATAGTTTCAGAGCAACTGCACCTGTATTTCCCCCTCTGTGGTCCCTTGGGGGCACCCACTTCAAGGTTTCTGGCTCCCAGTCATCACCTCTCTTGAGCAGAGACCTGCATCTCATTCCCCCCCGACCAGTGGTTTTAAGGCTGCACAGCTCCCTGTCTTCTACTGCAATAATAGCAGCAAGCCAGTCTGCCTAAAAAGACCAAGACCTATGCTTTGCTTTCTCTTCAAGGCCTATGAGTGGTGTTAATGCCAGCTGTTACGGGTTACCACACAGCTTTTTCTAAGCAAGCACATTTGTTCACCAGGTAAATACACATGTAAAAACAAACAGCCTACCAGAGGTCACCCATTTGTCTTATGGGGCCCAAGTAGGCTAAAGTCTTTCCAATCCTTCTGCAAGGGATAGGGCCCCGCTGTGACAGCAGCTCCTGTCTGTTTGCTGGACCAGAAACAAGGCCCCGAATCAGTTTAAACTCAGGCTATTTACCCAAAAGTCCTTTCTTTGTCTGTTAGTCTTTGGAGAATCTGCTTAGAAATAGTATATGTGAGCCTCTCCAGGAGATGGTTACCTCTCTGGGAGGGTTACAACCTGGCTGATTTGCCTTAGTCATCACCCACTGTTTTTAATTCCCAGAGGAGCTATGATAATCCTCCCCCATGGAGTAGAACACAATCATACATAAACCATGTATTTAAAACAATGGACCCCAAAGATACTGCATGGGTTTGCAATATCTTACATACTGTTAATATGGACAATATGTGTATACTGTTCTAAGATGACTCTTCTTTCTATTTACCTATCAGATACTACGGTGCTGTTAAATACAACCATGATGGGGGCCATATCATTGAGTGGGTGTGTCAGGGACCCACAGTTGAACACAGACCCTGCTCATTGGATTTGGCTGACTCGCTAATGAACCCAGATTGGCTGAAGACTTCAGCACTTAGTCTTAAACAAGCACTGCATCAGCCCTGGGTTCCTGGCTGCTCCACAGTATTCCATAGCTGCACCTGTGTTTTTAGTCCTGCTTCCTATTCCTGCTCTCTGCTCCCTTCTTGCTCCTAGCCCTTACTCTGAATCCCTGCTCCTGCCTCCTGTTGCTCATCTCTGGTTCTGCTCCTGGATTCCTAATCATGGCTCCCAGTTCCTAATCCCTGCTCTTGGCTCCTGCCTCCACTCTGGCTCTGATCCTTGACTCCTGATTCCTGGCTCTGGCTTCCTCGCTGGACTTGATATTCATCTTCTGACCACAGCTCTGACCCTTGGCTCCTGGCTCGTTCCCTGCACTTGGCATTCGGTTTCTGATCACTGCTCTGCCCCTGGTTCCTAGTCTCTGGCTCTCGGCTAGCCCCTCTAAACATGATAATTTAGCTCCTAACCTGGCCACTAAGCTTGGTTACCTCTCTTCCAACCATTTCATTCCTTTTAAACAGTACAAAGCTTTTGATACGGTCTCGCATGACCTTCTCATAAACAAACTAGGGAAATGCAGCCTAGATGGAGCTACTATAAGATGGGTGCAAAACTAGTTGGAAAACCATTTCCATAGAGTAATCAGTGGTTCACATAACGAGTGGGGTCCTGAAAGGGCATAACGAGTGGGGTCCTGCAGTTCTGGGTCCGGTTCTGTTCAATATCTTCATCAATGATTTTTTTAGATAATGGCATAGAGAGTACACTTATAAAGTCTGCAGATGATATCACGCTGGGAGGGGTTGCAAGTAATTTGGAGGATAGAATTAAAATTCAAAATGATCAGGACATACTGGAGAAATGGTCTGAAGTAAATAGGATAAAATTCAATAAAGACAAATGCAAAGTACTTCATTTAGGAAGGAACAATCAGTTGCACACATACAAAATGGGAAATGACTGCCTTGGAAGGAGTACTGTGGAAAGGGATCTGGGGGTCATAGTGGACCAAAAGCTTAATATGAGTCAATGGTGTAACACTGTTGCCCAAAAAAAAAAAAAAAAAAGCAATCATTATTCTGGGACAGGGGTGGGCAAACTTTTTGGCCTGAGAGACACATCTGGGTATAGAAACTGTATGGCGGGCCATGAATGCCCACAAAATTGGGAGTTGCAGTGTGGGAGGGGGTGAGGGCTCCGGCTAAGGATGTGGGCTCTGGGGTGAGGCCAGAAATGAGGAGTTCAGGGTGTGGGAGGGGGCTCCAGGCTGGGGCTGGGGATTAGGGGGGGGGGGTGAAGGCTCCAGCGTGGGACTGAGGGGTTTGTGGTACAGGAGAGTGCTCCAGGCTAGGACTGAGGGGTTCGGCGGGCAGGAGGGGGATCAGGGATGGGGCAGGAGGCTGGGGAACGGGGGCGGGGGGGTTTGGCTCTGGGGGTGCAGGCTCTGGGATGGGGCTGGGGATGAGGGGTTTGGGGTGCAGGGGGTGCTTGGGCTGGGACTGAGGGATTTGGAGGGCAAGAGGGGGCTCATGCCTGGGGCAGGGGGTTGGGCCACAGCGCGAGTTCAGAGGTGTAGGCTCTGGGAGGCACTTACCTCAAGCAGCTCCCGAAAGCAGCGGCATGTCCCCCCTCTGGCTCCTATGCAGAGGTGCGGCGTTGGCCAGGCGGCTCTGAGCGCTGCCGTGATCGCAGACGCCACCCCCACAGCTCCCAGAAGCAGCAGCATGCCCCCCTCTGGCTCCTATGCAGAGGCGCGGCGCTGGCCAGGCGGCTCTGAGCGCTGCCCCGTCCACATCGCCAGCCAATTGAAGCTGCTGGGGGCGGCACTTGTGGCGGGGGCAGCATGCGGAGTTTCCTGGCTACCCCCATGCGTAGGAACCAGAGGGGGGACACACAGAAAGACCCTGATCCCACTCCCCAGCCAGAGTGGGACAAGCTCCCAACCCCACTCCCCAGCAGGAGCTCCAGGACCAGATTAAAAGTTCTGACGGGCTGGATGTGGCCCGTAGTTTGCTCACCCCTGTTCTGAGATGTATTAGCAGGAGTGTTGTAAGCAAAACATGAAAAGTAATTCTTCCGCTCTACTCCACGCTGATTAGGCCTCAACTGGAATACTGTGTCCAGTTCTGGGTGCCACATTTCAGGAAAAATGTGGACAAATTGGAGAAAGTCTAGAGAAGAGCAATAAAAATGATTAAAGATCTAGAAAACATGACCTATGAGGGAACACTGAAAAAACTGGGTTTGTTTCGTGTGGAAAAGAGAAGACTGAGAGGGGACATGATAACAGTTTTCAATCACATAAAAGTTTGTTACAAGGAGGAGGGAGAAGAATTGTTCTTCTTAACCTTTCATAGAATCATAGAATATCAGGGTTGGAAGGGACCTCAAGAGGTCATCTAGTCCAACCCCCTGCTCAAAGCAGGACCAATCCCCAATTAAATCATCCCAGCCAGGGCTTTGTCAAGCCTGACCTTAAAAACTTCTAAGGAAGGAGATTCTACCACCTCCCTAGGTAACGCATTCCAGTGTTACACCACCCTCCTAGTGAAAAAGTTTTTCCTAATATCCAACCTAAACCTCCCCCACTGCAACTTGAGACCACTACTCCTTGTCCTGTCCTCTTCTACCACTGAGAATAGTCTAGAACCATCCTCTCTGGAACCACCTCTCAGGTAGTTGAAAGCAGCTATCAAATCCCCCCTCATTCTTCTCTTCTGCAGACTAAACAATCCCAGTTCCCTCAGCCTCTCCTCATAAGTCATGTGTTCCAGACCCCTAATCATTTTTGTTGCCCTTCGCTGGACTCTCTCCAATTTATCCACATCCTTCTTGTAGCGTGGGACCCAAAACTGGACACAGTAATCCAGATGAGGCCTCTCCAATGTCGAATAGAGGGGGACGATCACGTCCCTCGATCTGCTCGCTATGCCCCTACTTATACATCCCAAAATGCCATTGGCCTTCTTGGCAACAAGGGCACACTGCTGACTCATATCCAGCTTCTTGTCCACTGTCACCCCTACGTCCTTTTCTGCAGAACTGCTGCCTAGCCATTCGGTCCCTAGTCTGTAGCTGTGCATTGGGTTCTTCCGTCCTAAGTGCAGAACCCTGCACTTATCCTTATTGAACCTCTTCAGATTTCTTTTGGGCCCAATCCTCCAATTTGTCTAGGTCCCTCTGTATCCTATCCCTGCCCTCCAGCGTATCTACCACTCCTCCCAGTTTAGTATCATCCGCAAATTTGCTGAGAGTGCAATCCACACCATCCTCCAGACCATTTATGAAGATATTGAACAAAACCGGCCCCAGGACCGACCCCTGGGGCACTCCACTTGACACCGGCTGCCAACTAGACATGGAGCCATTGAGGATAGGACAAGAAGCAACGGGCTTAAATGGCAGCAAAGGAGATTTAGGTTGTACATTAGGCAAAACTTCCTGTCAGGGTGGTTAAGTACGAGAATAAATTGCCTAGGGAAGCTGTGGAATCTCCATCCCTAGAGATTTTTAAGAGCAGGTTAGACAAACACCTGACAGGAATGGTCTAGATAATACTTAGTGCTGCCATGAGTGCAGGGGACTGCACTAGATGACCTCTCGAAGTCTCTTCCAGTACTATGATTCCCCACCCAGACAAGTTCAATGGGGATCACAGGGCTTCTCATGGGTTTCTGAACCAATGCCACTCCTGTTCCATATAAGACCACAGACCTATTCCATTGATAGAGCCAAGGTGGGGCTCGTCATCAGTTTCCTGATTGAGAGGTACTTGCCTGGGCTTCCCCCTTTTTGGAGTAAGCCAGTCCCTTCTTGGGAGAGTTTAAGAACTTTGTCCAGGCCATGACAACCATCTTCGATGGCCCAAAGCAGATACATACAGCAGAATCAGCACTTCAAGCCCTGAGACAAGGCCACAAGCTGGTCACTAGCTATGCCACAAAATTCTGCTGCCTCACAGCTGACACAGAATGGAACAAGGCTACGCAGCACCACCACTTCTGGCGTGGTCTGAGTGATGAAGAGAAGGACGAAGTGGCCTGGGCAGAAATCTTGGCCAGACTGGCACCCCTGATCAACCTGAATATAAGAATTGATAGCCGGCTACGGGAACGTTGCCAGGAAAAGGCAACAGTGCCCTGACCATACCTCAGTCTCAGTCACTCATGCCCAGACTCCCCACTGACCTCCTGCCGCAACCGGAGCCCATGAAACTTGGCATTGTCTGATCCAGCCTTTCTGATGGCGAAAAGAACCAATGCCACTTGGCAGGCCTATGCCTTTACTGTGGCAGAACTAGACACTACAGCTCAAGCTGCCCAGCTAAAGGTTGGTTCGTCTCCCAGCAAGGAAATACCAGCCCTCCACCTTTTACAGGAGTTCTGGTTGGGGGTGATGTATTTCCCCTGGATCTAGCTTGATACACCAGTACCTCTTCACAGGTACCATTAGTGGCGATGCTCCACCTTCGGCTCCCGCTCCACTTAAGACATCCGGCCATGGCAGATGTCCACCTGGAAGCCCTCGTGGACACAGGAGCATCTCACAACACCAGATATCAACATGAGTCAATCCCATCCCAGACCTCATTGAAGCGGTCAATGGATCTCTATTTTCCTCCAGCCCAGTTACATGAGAAACAGCTCCTTCAGAAGTCACCACTATCCAGGACCACCAGGAGACCTTTTGGTTTGGCCTAGTCCATTTCCCCCTCTTCCTGGTTATTTCTGGCATCACTTGGCTAACCACTCATGACCCCCACAACTGCTGGAGCTCTAGCATGATCAAGTTCACTTCTCTGCACTGATGTCAGACCTGCTGTCTCAACCTCAGTCCGAGAAAAGAGGCAGCCCCCATCTTGTACTTGTTGAAGCTGTCTCTCTCCAAGCCAGGCTAAGGCAGTTTAGGAGGGGCCTGATGAGACACAACCCGCCCCTCAACTACTGTGGCTATACCTGCAAAGTATCAGGATCTATTTGATATTTTTGACAAAAGGGAGGACCAATATTTTGCTGCCTTGTCAGCCCTATAATTGCCCTATACATATCCAGGCCAGAGTGGAAATTCCTTTGGGACATATTTATTCCCTTTCAGAACCCAAGCTGCAGGCCCTTAGAAGCTACCTACAAGAGATTCTGCAAGGGGTTCATCTGCTCCTCCAAGTCCTCGAGCAGGACTCCAATTTTATTTGTCACCAAGAAGGATGGTTTCCTACACCTGTGTGTTGACTATTACATTCTGCACCTGGTATAGACATTTTGAATGCACTGTGATGCTGTTCTGACTACACAATGCCCCTGCTACTTTTCAACATTTTATAAATGACATTTTCAGAAATATGTTGGACCATTTTGTAGTAATTTACTTAGATGACATCCTGATCTTCTCTGAAAACAAATATCAGAATGACCAGCATGTACACAATGTTCAAGAAAGAATACGTCAGACCACTTCTACACTAAATTAGAAAAATGCAAATTTGATCGGAACATAGTTGAGTTTCTGGGTTACACTGCCTCCCCAGAGGGCCTATGGACTCACATAAGGTCTCCCCTTCAAGAACACCTTTTCTTTTCAAAAAAGAGAATGGGGTGCTTTTGGACCACATTATCTTTTTGTTTGGGCGGGCTTCTCTCCTTCTCCTCCTTCTCGGTGTTCCGGGGGGGTGGGGTTTGTGTTTGGGTTTTTTTTACCATCCCAGAGTGGGCCACTCCGAGGGATGTCTGGGGCATATAATGATTCTTAGGGTTTGCTAACTTCTACCAGTGTTTCATCTGAGATTTCGATACCGGTAGCCCCCCAGTGGCCCTTCTGAAAAAAGGAGCCTGATTTGTCTGGTCTGGGGAGAGTCAACATGTATTCAATCAGCTAAAAGAGGCTTTCATTTCTGCTGCCACCCTTGTCCATCTAGATCCCTTCTGTTGAAAATGGAGGCTGATGTTTCTGATTTTGCCAGTCATTCTTTTGCTCCCAACTCACTGATTCTCAATGCCATAATAATTCAGTCCCTACCACAGAATTAGTATGTGGTCGCTCCTATTTTAAGTCTTTCGTTGTATGAATTGGTAAGGGATGTGGGGACAAAGGGCAGTGTCCAGTGGCACAGGCAGCTGCAAAGAATTTGTACTGAGGAAGGCACCTGCAGAAAGCCAGTAAGGCCCCAAAGGTAAGTGGTGCTGACAGTGGAGAAGGCATGGCCACAGTTGCTGATGCATTAGTTCAGTACATCCCCACAACAGTGTCCACGGACAGAATTTCTAAGGAACACTGACTGCAGCTTAAGGCTGCCCTCCAATGGCATAAAACCTGAAGAAGCGGGATAGTAGAACTACCACTTGCCATTACCCTATTGTAAATTCTCCCAAAGCACAATGAACCTCTCCAGCGCAAGGAACTGCAATTTTGTACCTCCACATGCCATTCACTTTCGACCTATATGAATGAAGGAATGAAGGCCTCTATGGAGGGAGAAACAGCAACTGTTTAACAGAGTAGAGCAACACTTCACACAAATACTGTACCCAATTGCAGGAGAAATGTAATGTGTAATTACCAAGAGAAGAATCTGGCCAGGTTGCCAGAGTTAACGTCCTTAACTCTTGCAAAATAATTTCATGGACTATTTTATAATTACATGTGATCAGAACTAACTGGTAAGATGTTGATTCTCACAATAAAGTCCCTCTGACAAGTGCACACCTGTTCAATACTGACTTTGAGGATAGAATGTCTTACGGAACCACCAAAGACCACTTCCTAAGCAGCCCTGCATTTTCCTTGATGACCTTCTATATAAGTACTACCTAGATCCTACCCTGCTTAGCTATTAAGAGCTGATGAGATACTGAATTGGGATTCCTTCTTTTGTTTCACTCCAGTATTGTATTAGAGCCATTACACTTCTTTATGTAAGTTTTCATTATAACCTACATTTTGAAAGAGTTCAGATACTTGGTCATTAAGAATTTAGTTTAATTTGAGTGAGATTATGCATGCAATTTCTCAGTATTTAGTAATTATTATTCTTTTTATATACACTATGCTTGAATCTAAATTTTAATATTTTTAGTTACCAAAACAAGAAAACCAAATGTTGTGCTCTTCTGACTACTATCTAGTTAGAAGGTGAATGTTCTTACTATTTTTTCCTTATCCCCTGTTAACATACCATTGCAAGGCTAAGTCAACCCAATCACTTTGTTGGTAGCCCTAAAATGATACCATGTCAACAAGAGATGGGGAAAAAACAGTGAACATCTTCATCCATTTGACTTCTCCCAAGTTTGCCTGGCATGCACTGACATCCCATAGATTTCAAGAGGATCTGGAGTGGATGACAAACATCAGAAATTAACAAACAAAATTAAATGGGCACTGCCATAACAGATCAGACCAAATGTCCATCTAATCCAGTATCAAGTTTCCGACAGTACTTACTACCGATGATTGGGGGGGTTGGGGGGGGGGCGCATGGGGTGGCACAGAAAAAAGTTTCAAGAAACACTGTGATGGACAATTATGGAATAACCTGCTCATATGGAAATTTTCTTCCTAATCCCCACTAGTTAGGAATGGAGTTATACCCTTAGGCATGAGGATTTATATTCCTTGTAAAATGTTTTATCCTACCTAATTAAACTGTTGGTGTTCTTATCAATATAAATGTTTAATCTATATAAATGCTCATGGCCTCAGTCACATCTTGTAGTAATGACTTCCCAGGTTAGGTTAATCATCCGCTGTGTAAGGAAGTGTGTCCTATGGGCCTGATTATTTTTCCACTTAAGTCCATGGAATTTTGCTGTTGATTTCAAAGGGACCAGGACACAGGGTCCTCTGTGTATTCCTGAGCTGATATTTATGTAAGCAGTATATTTACATACATATTAACAGAAGTCAGTACATACTAGAAAACACGTTAGCAGTAAAGCACCTAAGCAATTATTGAAGTACTGAGAAAAATTTAAATTAAACCACAATACAAAAGAAAATAACTATGATGGCTACTATAACACAAGTCTTACTTTTCTAACTCCTCAGGATCAAACTTCCACCATGTGTCTGGCTCATGGAATTCCACTCTGTAGCCTTTCCCTAGAGCCTACAGCAAATAAAGAAATACAGTATGCATGATAGGTGTAACATTATTATACTAGTTTATGCTGCAACAAACATAACGTCATTAAATAGAAAAAATATTAATGAAAAACAGACTTATTGAAATTAAATACTAAGCAGTCTTAGCCCATTGAACTTTAGATCACTTACCCCACAACCTCTAGGTTTCATCTTAGAATAAAAACATTAGGTCAAGTCAATCCAAACTAGACTATCCCCATACCTGTTAGTGGCTATGTCAAAGAAATAGCCTGTTCAAGGAGAGAAAGGAATGTCAACAAGGAAGACCCATTACTAGACAAAGTAGTTGCATTCATGCTTTGTGAAGGTAGGTCTGCAAAAAAAAACAACACAGTATAACAACAATGGATTTAATTACACAGTAGCTATATTTACCGTTTCCACATACGGCTTCATTTCCCAGGCTTGAGTATTAGTGTTGTCTATTATAACTGGAGATCTTCCCTGTTCCATAGCTTGCTTTGCTGCAGTAAATAAAGATTAGAATACAACCCTCAATATATGAGTGAAAAATTGGAATGAATATTCTGTCTATTTCAAGTAAAATGATGACAAGCATTTTTGTTCTACAAGAGGTTTGCATTAGTATGTTGTGATTAATTAAGGAATCTAAACTGGATTTCTATTTAATTAGATTCCACTTAAATAAGGCCGTCACAGCTTCAGGGTAAACCAACAAACAGTAATCTGCTTAACACAGACAAGTGCTAATAGAGCTATATAGTTAACAGGGAAAACTGCCTATTTCCTTCTTGATTCCTAATAAGCAGCTACGGAGGCATTTGTTATGGGGAACAAGACAAGAAGAGTGTTGGCTAAAGAACTTTTATCGTTACTTTTACAGTTAATTCCTAGAATAATAATTACAAGGGCCACATTACATGGAATACACATTTATTGTGACAGAGATGGCATGAAAATGCTTCTAGAAAAACTTATGCTTAAGTTACTTTATTGCTTTCAGCAACTAATATATCCATTAATAAAAATCCCATATGAATAACTGCAAACTATCAAGCCTAGAACTTTTGGCTGAGCTAGCGCATATCTTTTAAAAAGACCTTCCATCTTGATTTAAAGACTTCAACCACCACATTTCTAGGTAACAGGTTTCAGAGTGGTAGTCGTGTTAGTCTGTATCAGCAAAAAAACTTCAGAAACAGACTCCACCGAGAAACTGCAGAACTGGAATTAATTTGCAAACTGGACACCATTAAATTAGGCTTGAATAAAGGGTGGGAGTGGATGGGTCATTACATAAAGTAAAACTATTTCCCCATGCTAATTTTTTCCCCTACTGGTACTCATACCTTCTGGTCAACTGTTTGAAATGGGCCATCCAGATTATCACTACAAAAGTTTTTTGTTCTCCTGCTTATAATAGCCCACCTTAATTGATTAGTCTTGTTCGAGTTGGTATGGTAACACCCATTTTTTCATGTTCTCTGTGTGTATCTGTATATATCTTCCTACTGTGTTTTCCACTGCATGCATCCAATGAAGCGGGTTTTAGCCCATGAAAGCTTATGCCCAAATAAATTTGTTCATCTCTAAGGTGCCAAATACTCCTCGTTCTTATTTCTAGGTAAATTGTTCTCATAGCTAATTAACCTTTTTGTAAAAAAAATCTGCACCCTGTTTCTGATCTTAATTTATTCTAGCTTCTAGTTCAGGGGTTCTCAAACTGAGGGCCGTGACCCCTCAGGGAGGTCGCAAGATTATTACATGGGGGGTCACCAGCCGTCAGCCTCCACCCCCAAACTCCACTTCACTTCCATCATTTATAATAGTGTTAAATGTAAAAAAGTGTTTCTAATTTATAAGGGGGAGGTGGGTCACAGTCAGAGGCTTGCTGTGTGAAAGGGGTCACCAATACAAAAGTTTGAGAACAACTGTTCTAGTCACTGCATCTTGTTATGGCTTCTGTATTAAACCGAAAAGGCCTCTACTACCAGAAATCTTTTCCCCACATAGATACTTATAGACAGATCAAGTATCACCAGTGAACTTTCTTTGTTGAATGGAGTTTTAGTCTCACTGTAAGACCTCAAATCATTCTGGTAGCTCTTTTCTAAATCCTTTCCAATTCATCAAAATCCATTTTTAAGTGTGGAAACCAAAACGGAATGCAGTATTCCAGTAAGGACTAGCCACTAGGTAACATGTGGTGGTAAAGAGGAGGCAAGACTGACTCAAATGCAAAAAAGGAGTAAGAAGGAAATTGGAAGGAGTAGCCTGGTAGCGAGTGAGTGGAAGCAGGGATAACAGCAAATGGAATGGCCCAGAGAATGGTGTGGTGGTGAACAGAAATAGAGAAATGTGAGAAGTATCTAGGGGAAAGGAGTAGGAGCAGAGAGGGGGAAGGACAAAAGGGTCTATAAAAGGGATGGGAAAACTACAGCCAGGGGGCCGCAACTGGCCCTCCAGACATTTTATTCTGGCCCTCGAGCTTCCAGCGGGAAGCAGGGTCTGGGGCTTGCCCTGCTCCAGCTGGGGAGCGGGGATGGGGGCTTGCCCCGCTCCACGCAGCTCCCAGAAGCACCAGCACGTCCCCTATCCGGCTCCTATGAATATGGGCAGCCAGGGGCAGCCCCCCTACAGCCCCCCACAGCGCCTCCCACCCGCTGGCAGACACCCACAGATCGGCGCCTTCCCCCGGCTCCTGCCCGCAGCAATCAGCTGGTTTGCGGCGTTCAGGAGGGGGGAGGGAGGAGCGAGGACTTGGCACGCAGGCTCCCCCACCCTCCCCTGCCTCCCGAATGCTGCAAACCAGCTGATTGTTGAGGGCAGGAGACAGGGGGAGTCTGGGCGCCGTGTCCTCGCTCCTCCCCACTCCCTCCTGAACGCCGCAAGCCAGCTGATTGCCGCGGGAAGGAGGCAGGGGAGGAGCGAGGATGCGGCATGCAGCGTAATGGGGGATGAGGGGGAGGGGATGAAGAGGTGGGTTAAGAGGGGGGGGCTTGGGGGAAGGGGTGGAGTGGGCAGGCCGAGGGTTGAGCCCCTCGCCCCGGTGCTTGCAGAGTAGGGGAAGCTGCCGCTGCTGCACAATGTGCTTCTCCTAGTCTACAGCACCTTCAGCCTCCTTGCCTGCCTCACTGTTTCCAGTACCAGTGCCTGTCTGGGGTAAGGCGCGGGAACCTCCCAACTATAGTACTGTACTGTACAGTCTCATGCTTAAAGCACTTGAATCATAGAATATCAGGGTTGGAAGGGATCTCAGGAGGTCATCTAGTCCAACCCCTTGCTCAAAGCAGGACCAATCCCCCAATTTTTGCCCCAGATCCCTAAATGGCCCCCTCAAGGATTGCACTCACAACCCTGGGTTTAGCAAGCCAATGCTCAAACCACTGAGCTAACCCTCCCCACAAATGTCATCTTGGAGAACTGGATTCTATCACTGCTTCTCCCATGAATTTCCTATGTGTTACTAGGCAAGCCACTTAAATGAAACTTTTCAGAGGCTGCCACTAATTGTGTGTGTGACCCAAGGACCTCTTGATGCCAACTGGCAGAGGACACAGGGGTGCATAAGGGTTACAGGGATCCCCTGGTTCTGGTATTTACATTCACCAAAAACTGTCATGCCAGGTTTCTACTGAAAGCCTGCCACTGTTCATCATAATCATTGTGAAATGTATGTGTGAATAATATGTAAGGAGCTATGTATATGTAACTGTGAATTATGCCTTGAAGTTAAAGACAGATCACCTGGAGGTGACATACCTTAAGAAAGGTTACACCAGACATGAGGTAGGAGACATTTATCTCCTTGTCTCACCACTGTGTATTCTGTATCTTACAATGGAAATCTATTTGCGTACTGAATCAAATACCATTGAAGAGATTGTGGGGACTTCAGGAGAAGAAATCAAGAGGAAGATGTGAACAGCATGTGGGGTTGGGGGGAGGAGAAAAGAAAACCCTATTTACAGCTGAAGAACAAATGACTGGTCTATTATATCAATATATATCAGAGATACCCTGGCATCCTTCATCTTGGAGACAAGGTGCCAGCAGGCCTTTGGTCTCATGAAAGGAAGGTCCCAGCCATTCTGGTTGAAAATACCATGAAAAGCACTTTGGGTAAGCAGTACCTTATCAGAGAAGAGGGCATGTTGCTACTTAAGTTGTAGTAGTGAAGCCTATCACTGAAAGGGTGCACTAGAGGGACTCAAGTACAGGTCACCCTGTAACTGTGACAATGATAACGTAATTAAAGACAGTAGCATAATACATATGCAGAAGGAGGTCAAATTAAAGTTGCATAAGCAACCATAATTCTGCTATTTCCTAATGTTTGACTACTTGACTTTGCAACCTTACATTATTAACAGTGTTTTAAATGCAATATACAATTATAATATATAAATTGTTTTAGCATCAGTTACAATCTGTAAATTTAATTTTCAAATTAATATTTTGGAATCTAAAATTTCACTCTGAGCTAAAATCTAATTAGTAGTTTTGTAAAATAGGTATCAGGTAACTCTCAAGTGCTCTGACATGGATAACGTTAAATTACCTTTCCAGCTTTACAAAAATTTCATAGAATCATAGAATCATAGAATATCAGGGTTGGAAGGGACCTCAGGAGGTCATCTAGTCCAACCCCCTGCTCAAAGCAGGACCAACCCCCAATTAAATCATCCCAGCCAGGGCTTTGTCAAGCCTGACCTTAAAAACTTCTAAGGAAGGAGATTCTACCACCTCCCTAGGTAACGCATTCCAGTGTTTCACCACCCTCCTAGTGAAAAAGTTTTTCCTAATATCCAACCTAAACCTCCCCCACTGCAACTTGAGACCATTACTCCTTGTCCTGTCCTCTTCCACCATTGAGAATAGTCTAGAACCATCCTCTCTGGAACCACTTCTCAGGTAGTTGAAAGCAGCTATCAAATCCCCTCTCATTCTTCTCTTCCGCAGACTAAACAATCCCAGCTCCCTCAGCCTCTCCTCATAAGTCATGTGTTCCAGACCCCTAATCATTTTTGTTGCCCTTCGCTGGACTCTCTCCAATTTATCCACATCCTTCTTGAAGTGTGGGGCCCAAAACTGGACACAGTACTCCAGATGAGGCCTCACCAATGTCGAATAGAGGGGAACGATGAACGATCACGTCCCTCGATCTGCTCGCTATGCCCCTACTTATACATCCCAAAATGCCATTGGCCTTCTTGGCAACAAGGGCACACTGCTGACTCATATCCAGCTTCTCGTCCACTGTCACCCCTACGTCCTTTTCTGCAGAACTGCTGCCTAGCCATTCGGTCCCTAGTCTGTAGCTGTGCATTGGGTTCTTCCGTCCTAAGTGCAGGACCCTGCACTTATCCTTATTGAACCTCATCAGATTTCTTTGGGCCCAATCCTCCAATTTGTCTAGGTCCCTCTATATCCTATCCCTGCCCTCCAGCGTATCTACCACTCCTCCCAGTTTAGTATCATCCGCAAATTTGCTGAGAGTGCAATCCACACCATCCTCCAGATCATTTATGAAGATATTGAACAAAACCGACCCCTGGGGCACTCCACTTGACACCGGCAGCCAACTAGACATGGAGCCATTGATCACTACCCGTTGAGCCCGACAATCTAGCCAACTTTCTACCCACCTTATAGTGCATTCATCCAGCCCATACTTCTTTAACTTGCTGACAAGAATACTGTGGGAGACCGTGTCAAAAGCTTTGCTAAAGTCAAGAAACAATACATCCACTGCTTTCCCTTCATCCACAGAACCAGTAATCTCATCATAGAAGGCAATTAGATTAGTCAGGCATGACCTTCCCTCGGTGAATCCATGCTGACTGTTCCTGATCACTTTCCTCTCATGTAAGTACTTCAGGATTGATTCTTTGAGGACCTGCTCCATGATTTTTCCGGGGACTGAGGTGAGGCTGACTGGCCTGTAGTTCCCAGGATCCTCCTTCTTCCCTTTTTTAAAGATTGGCACTACATTAGCCTTTTTCCAGTCATCTGGGACTTCCCCCGTTCGCCATGAGTTTTCAAAGAGAATGGCCAATGGCTCTGCAATCACAGTCACCAATTCCTTTAGCACTCTCGGATGCAACTCGTCCGGCCCCATGGACTTGTGCACGTCCAGCTTTTCTAAATAGTCCCTAACCACCTCTGTCTCCACAGAGGGCTGGCCATCTACTCCCCATGTTGTGACGCCCAGCGCAGCAGTCTGGGAGCTGACCTTGTTTATTCCTTATTCTTGACTGACTAATTTCCTCATTTGGGAAGTGTACTTTCATTTTTGCTTTCTTCACTGTAATCCTAGTATAAGTAGTATTCAAGGCTTATATACATGTGTAGGGCTACAAGTACTTTAGCAAGTCTATGAATAAATGTATACACCTCCTCAACACCTACATAATGATGTAATTAATAGCTGCTTGCACCCAAAGCTGTATAAAGGCATTCACTGCACGCTAAAACTGAAGGTAATGAGTTGTTCTGGTACTGCACAGACACACCCCAGCTTCAGAAAATAGGAACAGTGTTCCTATTAAATATTGAAATACAGAAATATTGGATAACTTAGATAAATGGATAAGGAGATATAGAGCTTTTCACCTTTAGGTCACTAGTCTGAGCTAGTCTCAGGTCAGAAAGGACTAAAAATCATTATCAAATGACAGCTGTTTGGTGGCCTTTATTTATATTTTTATTTATAAAATGCCCTCTAACATGTCTCAGGGACAAAAAACACTTAAGAATGTACATTTTTTGCCCTCCTCTAGAAGAAAAAAATTACAGTTCTCCAAAACAAAATTCCCTTCCAAAACAATTTCTAATCAAACACTGTGTCATAAGGCCAACATACCAGATTATTGCTGACCAACACAGGAAAAAAATTTTGAACTGAGAATATTCTATTACTTAACATTTAAATCTAGAATCTAAATCTCTCAAGCACTTCAGCTGACCTCATTCACCATGCTGGCTCACTGGGAGAAAAGTTGTTTTTTCTATAGCTAAGATCTAGAATAAGTAAAGCTTTTCAAGATTAAAGTCAAACTCTGCTCGATATCAAGAAATGAACTAGAAAACTATGAAAACTTCTGTAATACATTTCCTGCATGCAGGAAACCATATTTTGCACTAGTTGGAGTACACAAGACTTTTTCAGTGTGACCCAAATCAGAGCCTTTTCAGTAACCAAATCCAGAAAACACAGTGGCATGGAAAACTGTGATGAGGTCTGGATGTGTAAGAAAATGTTGTAAACAACTTAAGAACATAACAACGGCAATACTGGGTCAGACCAAAGGTTCATCTAGCCCAGTATCCTGTCTTCCGACAGTGGCCAATGGCTGGTGCCCCAAAGGGAATGAGCAGAACAGGTAATCATCAAGTGATCCATCCCGTGTCGCCCATTCCCAGCTTCTGGCAAATAGAGGCTAGGGACACCATCCCTGCCCATCCTGGCTAACAGCCATTGATGAACCTATCCTCCATGAACTTAACTAGTTCTTTTTTTAACTTGCCAGACAGACGTAAAAAAACTACAAACAAACAAAACATAACAAACTCCTCTCTTCACCACCTCCACGACCACCACCCAAGTTTACAGGGGTCCAAGAGCATTCCCATGTTTAAATTTCCTTGGACGAAAGACAAGCAAATAAAAGGAGTAGAAATAATTGTTTCCTTTAACCCATCAGCCACTTCTATTTTGTCTGGTTTACACAGAAAGATCATTCTCATCCAAGTCCCAATCTTGGCCAGGTGCTGAGATAGCACAGACACATCATCATCCAGGTCTGATAAAAATGAAGATGCAGAGCAGCATTCATTTGCATAAGGATGACCCTACGTCCCAAAATGTCATGCTATTTACAAGAGACAGATAACCAATTGTTCAGAACCACTCTCCAATACCTCTTTGGCCTTGTCTAGAGTAGGAAAAAGGTGCTTATTTTCAAATTGAGTTTAACTATGTATATTAGTGCTAAACAGAATTAACATTAGCTCAATTTTATCAGGTTTAATTATAGCCTTTGCCTACTAAAAATGAGCAAACGATATGAAACTAAGTCTATATTGGTGCTAAATTGGGTTTTAAATTGAGTTGAATTAATTTGATTGAAAATAAGCACCTTTTCCCCTACTCTACAAAAAGCCTTGGAGAGGAAACTTCAACTAGTGGCCACAGGCAGGTTAACAAAACCTCAGGCCTTGTCTACACTGGGGGCGGAGGGGGGAAGATCCATCTAACATACGCAACTTCAGCTACGAGAATAGCGTAGCTAAAGTTGACATATCTTAGATCGACTTAGAATCACTTACTTCGCGTCCTCGCGGCACGGGATCGACAGCCGCCGCTCCCCCGTCAACTCTGCTTCCGCCTCTTGCCCTGGTGGAGTTCCGGAGTCGACGGCAGAGCAATCGGGGATCGATTTATCGTTTCTACACTAGATGTGATAAATCAATCCCCGATAAATCGATCACTACACGGGTAGTGTAGACGTGGCCTCAGTATCAAAGATTGCTGACAGATTTTAAAGGATCAGAATAGTCAAACAACTGTTGTCCATTACCAGGAAGAGATTAGCCACCAAATGAGTTACAGTCTCATTCCAAGTGAATAAGTGTCTATATCAGAAAATCCACCACAATTACCATAGTTGGCAGTTTTAAACAAACGGCCAATTAATCAATTAACCTATACTCTACTCCTGAAGCTGGTCCCTCTCCATAACACTATTGAGAAGCAGTGGATGAAGCCTACACTGTTGCTGTTCCACTATTTCGATGGAATACGAAAATTTATCTGTGCTTACTTGAAAATTTCCTTTTTAAAATAATAAGATCCACAGATCCTTTACAATGGGTACTTCAGCCTGCTTGGAGTTAGAACCACACCTATCAGTCATGAGCAGCCTGGGAATGTGCTACTTCCTGAAGTTCCCTCCAGTTCAGATAACTTCCACAGCCAGGATATTTCAAACCTACTTACATTTACAGATTGTGCTAAATATACTTTGAGGAAAAACACAATTTCTCCTACTGCAAAGCTAGGTAAATACTAACCAATAGCAACAACCCCAAATCCTTGGATGTCAATTTCCATCTCTGTTCTTTATGATCCACTTGTCTCCATGGTGGGCCAGATCTGTGGACCTTATTACTTAAAGAAAAGAAAATTTTCAAGTAAACATTGATACATTTTCTTATACTTGGTGCATAGATCCACAGATCCATTAGAACGGGATTTTCATAACAGTGTCCCACCACAATGGGAAGCAGGAAAATGCTTTAAAAATGGACATCCAAACAAGGTAAATTATATAAATATTGCCTCCATCTTTCCTTGGGCACTAAGATGTGGATAAAATTTCTGCCCAAAGAAAGAAAATGCATTGGATAAGTCTGGATGAGCAAATATTCAGAATATGGTGAAGTCTAGCAGATATCAATAGCAGAGACATGACTACTCTGTCCTGAGATTGTCAACGTTCCTAAGGACTGGACTTTGATGATTAACTGAAGGAGGAATATTCTTGAATTTATTTAAGGAATGGATGCTATGACAGCTGTCTGAATTAAAATTACAATAATAAATATCAGTTTAAAAGCTCTCAATTTATTTAAAAAAAAAAATTCATCTGATTGAAGATAGTAGCTATCTGGAGGTCTACTCTAATGGACAGGCAGTGTAACAACCCTTCCTGCAAGGTTTCAATCTGGGCGATGCTGTAAGGAGCAGGACAACATGCCAAGGTTGTACTCTGTGACTGTGTGAGGTTAGGGCAAGGTTGATGCCCTAAAGAGAGATTTAATGTTGGGATGTGTAAAAAACTGCCTTTTATTGAATACGCTGAGAACATTATACTACAGAGCCTTGACCTTTTTGCTGGGATGCTCACGCTCTCACAATAAAACGCTCCAGGCTATGGCCACTCAAGGATATGTTTCACTTATTTAACATGGTAGTTATTCTACTGACTGGTGCACAGTCCACAGTTTAAGTTCTATTTGTTTCCTTCTCTTTTGGAGTCCATGACAGCAATAAGTCACCTCATCCAAGTATTCATTTTAAACCTGTCCGGTCCCAGAGGAAGGATTGGTTTTGCAACAGCAGATCTCTTCTGTGAGATAGGGACATCTAAAGATCCAATGCTATGTTAACCAGATCTGAGAACCACAGTATCACTAAAATAGCTGGAAACTGATTTGTCTGAGCATCTAATCCCAAGGTCCAAAGCCCCATATACATGCATGAAACCAATATGAACCCCTTTTCTCTCCCTTTTTCTTCTTTCCAGGGAGAAGCCCTTAGGCCAAGCAATTTTTAGGTTGCAATAATCTCCACTTTTGTTAGTGTTGCTTGTGAAAGCATAGGGAGACACTCAGCATGTCAGATGACAGTTCATATTTGTTTTATTTTTGTTCATCTGATGCCACCTAAAAGTTTTCATGCCCAAAGAAGGCTGCGATGAGATGATGCCTGACTGAACTTGGCTGGCTGTAAAGAGCCTGTATAGTGAAGAGGCCATTCTTTCAAGTAAAAATCTCTGTGAGTTCAAAACACTGAATCCCTCACCACAAGGGAAAACAGCCACATTTATCTCTGACACCAAACCCAGGTTAAATATTGACTAGTGAACATTGAGGAATCTTCTGGCCTTATAAAATGGAGGCCAGGGCAGAAAAAAAATAAATGGTGAGTCAAGAGGCCTCACACTGCCCACTGTTTCTTTCACATCTGGGCTGCTGTCTCTTCCTTCACCCCATAGCCCATGTGTCTGGTGGGAAGTGATGGAAGTAATGACGAGAGACATGGCAACCTGCAACAGAGGTTGAAAACAATAACCTGGATATTAGGGCATGGTGATGCACAGCAGCAGCTGGGAATGACAGCATGATACTTTCCCAGTCTTTTTGGTGTGGCCAGAAATCCCTGTCCCTTCAGTACATCTTCCCAGAGTGCATAAGGAAGAGTATATGGCTACAGCTTTTCTTGGGTAAGAAGCTGCAGACCTCCTATGCATTGTTTCACAATACTCAGTACTCTATTGTCTAACAGTGTCTATCTTCTGCTGTGTTATTTGTTTGTTTAAATTTATTTTACTCTTTGATTTTCTAACTCTGATTTCATCTGCTGGCCTTCCTCCTGCAAGCAGGAAGAATTCCCTTTGCATGTGTGTTAAGTGGGGGGAGGTGCATGCCTAGAGGAATCAACACCTGTCTATGGCCTAGTCTTTTCTTCACTGATCTGTCCTGCTGCACTTTGAAGACAAGCAGAGGAACTCTCACAGAGGATTATCTTCCCTGCTGCACTTTGTGAAGGTCAGCAGGGGAAACTGTGCCAATTTTATTATTCATTTATTCACTCTTTGGGAATCTGTCCTCATAATCCTGCTTCAGAAGGGGGAGTGAAACTGGTCCTAAATTGCTCCAGAAATATTTCAAGTGGCTACCGATACCTCTGTCCTCAAAGAGGCTGGACAGAGACTGTTTCCCTTTCAGGTCTCTCAGGAAGGTCCTGTCCTGGTGCTCAAAGATAGGCTTCCCCAGGAGCTCCACCCCTCTCTACTGCCTGGGATCCAAATGGTCCAGATAGGTCAGTGTTTCCCCCAAGGACTCAGCCTGGAATAGGAGTAGGGATTCCTAGAGGAGGCTGTTCTAGAGATGAGACAATGGGGAGGGAGCTGGGTCCAAAGGCCTTTTACCACTGTCTCTGGTGTTGGCAGCATCCACGCTTGTCTGATTCACTCCAGTTGTGACCTACAGAAAAGTGGAAGGGGACAGGGAGGAGACAGTTGAGCTCCTCAGTCACAGGCACAGCTGCTAGTGTAGGTTATAGGAACTCACATGTAATCTTCCATCTAGTATGCTGCCCTTCTGGCTTCACTCCCCTCCCCCCATGGGAAGTGAAAAGGGAGTGGCTGCTTGCCCTGGAGCCAATTTCATTCCAGTCCTACCTGACTCCTTTCTTACCAGGCAAAGAGGGTCTGAAGCAACCCCACCACGCCTGAACTGCATCTTGCCCAGCAAAGCTGGCTTCCCCAACACTGTCTGGTTCCTTTCCTTCCCAGGAACGGGTGAGGCAACAAGCCAACCCTGCCGTCCCTGGGCTGAGAGGGAAACTGCATCCTGCCTGCAGAGCCAGTGAGACACTAAGTAAGTGGGGGAGCAGGAGACAAAGGGCCTTCCTTTTGCTTCTAGCTTTTCTTGACCGAGCTTGCACCCTGAAGCCTGCAGAGGCACCATCCGATGCAAACACCTCAGAAAGGGTTGCAGAGCTGAGGGGACAATTGCCCCAAAATCAAGTGCAGCCCTGGGACATGACTGGGAATTAGACAAAAACATTACTGAGGCCCGCTGTTAGTCTAAAATTTTGAAATAAAAGACAGGAATTTCCCACAGAAAAGTCCTGCGGCAGGGAGGGGTGGCTGAGATGCTGGCCACTGCAGGGAACTTCAGGACACAGGGCGTTCCCCTGCTGCCAGTGACTAACAGATCTGGTTCTGCCCTGAGCCTGAAAGCAGGATAAAGTACCCACTGTAATAGATCTGTGGATTTTGCACAAAGAAGAAAAAGGATTTTTGTCTACAGTCTTCTCACATCTGAATCTTTAGTTTTAAAGAAGGGTACAAGTTATGTATTTGTGAATTCCATGTAAACTGACCACTGACACTTGCATATATATATTTATGCTATACATGCATATTCTAACCATTCGAGATCTAAAAGAATTCCTCTACTGGGTTCACACCTCTCTTCTGGTTCCAGTCATGAGCATCACCAAGCTGAGCAACGTTATATGTATATCCATCTTGCTGTCGAAAATAATCATCGGTGCTGAACACCACGCCATCACGATTTTGACCAAGTAGAATACTGTTAAACAAAGGAAAAAGCAAAACCATTACAAATTAACCAAAACTTATTCTTTATAGGGTAAACAAAAAAGTGATATAGGGAAGTTTAATGCTGTACTATTTTTGATCTTCGATACTTTCAGTTTTGTAGCTAAAAGAAACTCAACAATTTCCAACCCAAAATTAAGCATTTTCTTTTCTCTCCACTGTTTCTTTATTCGCTGTTTTTTCTCCCTTCCTCACAGGAGGTACACTTGTGCCTAATTTCCATGACAGCAGCAACTGAGCACATTCCAAATCTTTTAATGTATACATTCTCACAACACTCCTGGGAAGTATTACTCCCATCTTGCAGGTGGGTAGTATGGGATACAATCACACAGGGTGTTTGTGGTAGAGTTCTGAATTGAATTGGGTCTCCTGAGTCACAGACCGGAGCCCTAACCACTAGACCATTCTTTCTCTCATTTGTACCTGTGCAACTCTAGCACAGCGTTTCTCAAATGCGGCCACCAGGGGCTTTTCTTGTGGCCACACCCTCCTGGACTATGATGGGGGTGGGGTGGGGGGTGAGTGGCAAAACAGCAGCATCTCCCCCCCTCCCTGTTGCTCCTGGATGCACCACATTAGTGTTGATTGCTGGGGCTGCCAGCAGCGGTTGGGCTCGGCCCCCCTCTGGAGACACCTGGGGCACAACGCTGGAGGATCTGGCAGTCAATGAATTCCCCATTTTCCCGGAGCAAGTGGGGCTCAGGTTTTGGGCTTCCGTCCTGAGGTGACACAGCGGCAGATTCTGACTGAGGGACTTTGGGCTCCAGCCCCGGGCTGTGGCTGTGAGGCGGTAGACCCCAGGCTCCGGCTGCAGGGCTTCAGCTCCAGCCCCCATCAGTTTTAATTTATCCCCAGACTTGGCAGGGCTGAGTAAGTCTGCTGTGAAATGTGATACTGGCATGTTTATTAACAACACTTTTCACAACAGACTTTCTATCTAGCAATAAATAAATAACAATCTTTTGGACTGGTCAGCGTGCATATGTATTTGTTTTTCCTAAAGCTAATTAAGTATTTTAGAGAAAAGCGTGAGAGCAGCCATCAGCAAGAGTTGGTGGCCATACTCTGAGGCCACCAAAAAATTTGTCCTGAGAACCCCTGCTCTAGCATATAGTACATGCCTAGCCAGAGCAGCACAGTAAAACTAACAAGACTTACACGTCAATTACTCTATTGCTGTTGCACAGGCAAGAAAAACAGGCAGTGGCAACAGCACCAATGTAACAACCCTGCAGGACTGTTCTACTGAGGAAAGTCAGAACTGCAACAGAGCATATGGCTTTTCTTAAAAGCATCCCTCACTTTTAACTTAATTTAAAATAAGACAAGCAATTTGATTCTCTCCCCCTCCTCCCCGCCCCAAATTTAACTTCTCCCACTTTTGGTCACACAGAGAAATCATTTGATGAGTCCCTCTACCCTCCATCTTTCCTAAATTTTCAGTGGAAAACACTGTTTTAGTGTCACTGCATGCATTCTTAGCTCAACCAGGAGAAAAAAAAAAAAGCACATTCCTCCATCAATGTAATATTAAATCCAATCACCACACTATCACTCCCTAATGCAAAAAATTAAATATCTTAATTTTAATAATTAAGGGTTTACATTTCACAATTATTTGATGCACAGTATTTTTTATTTAAAATAAAACCTTTGCCAACACTTCTATGCATTAAACAATCTTGGTTGACAATGGTTTCTTAAAAAGCTTTAAAGAAATGGCAAAGAAAAAGAGACTGATTTATGTTATATGAATTTCTGCTCTCTCTCCTTCTGTTGCTCTTCTTTCCTTTACCTGTTCTCTTACTAATCTATCCTCCTAAACCACCTCACCTCCCTCTCCACTTTAAATTTTCTTTTAAAATTTGTCAATGCCAGTTTGGTATTGTATCATGGATTGGATCCATTTAATACTACTAATTTTTCATTCAGACATCCTAACACTTTATTACTATTTAACCAATCAAGTGTCTTTCAGATTTCAAATATACGGGGCCAGAGAATTATGATTTTTATAAAAGCCATATCATCCCCAAAATAAACCCATCAAGTGTCCTCTGCACCTCCTGTAGGATCCATCAGAAGAATAGTATGTACATAATTAAGGCCACAATCTACCAAAGTAACACTACGTTGCCCCACTGAAGCCATGGAGGCCTGTCTGTTCAGTTCTTTTTAAGGGAATGGGACCATCGTAAATATGCATTTTATTTTCACTGGAAATGTTACTGCAATCTCAAATAAATCAGTAATGCAAAAGCAGTTCTGTCTTGGGAAAACACAGCACTCATTGTCACCAAAATCTACTATACACACATTTTTATAATTCTATATTCTTATCTAATATTGTCATCAACTACTGTGATAAATAAGCTATTACAGAAAGAGGTCTTAATTTTTATATGAATGATTTTATTCTTTTCAATTTTTAAATTCTGAATAAAGCTAAAATTAACAACCTTTTGTTTTATCCAAAATTCATTTCAATATTGCCTAGTTATGCCAAAACATATTTGTGAACCAGGAAGGTTGATTTATTACAGCTCAGTTATAGGAACAGAATTATCTGCTACGTCATCAGCACAATCAAAATCTCAACCCAGGGTCAAAATGAGACTACTTAATATATTCATATTTATCAGCCACTTCTTAGACCCACTATTACTTTAACAGGTTTCAAGTAAACATGGTTAAATTTGTCTGTACACAGCAGTCTTTCTGCCACTACCAACACATGTCCACAACTATCACACTGCCTAACCATATTGGTACCAGTGCATTCTTGGAAATCTAGGCAGCTATGCTATATTGCCTCAAAAGGAAACAGAGTAGCCAGAGGATAAGAAATAGAGCAGCATATGGGGCATTGTATTCTGGGATGTCCTACATTTTAGAGACCAGAAAGGAAGAGAACAGGACAAATCACAAATAACGTAGAAGCATAAGTGTGTCAATTTGCACACTCAATTACCATACCTGTCCATAAAAAATTGCAATAACTTTACTCGTTAGAAGTTTAGTTATTACACAATTCTGTCCTTAACTTTGTGCGCACAACCCACTGAATCATCAGTCATCAGCAAGATAAGTCAGCAAGATCATAAGTAGTATATAATCTAACATTGTAGACCAGTCACAAAACCACACATCTTCATTAAAAATTCAACCACAGAAGGAATCTGACACCCCACTCCGCCAGATCAATCATGAAGATAAATCTCATAACACAGTACCTAATCTGTTTCAGAGTAGCAGCCGTGTTAGTCTGTATCCGCAAAAAGAAAAGCTACAGCTGTAGTTCCCGAAAGCTTATGCTCAAATAAATTTGTTAGTCTCTAAGGTGCCAAAAGTACTCCTTTTCTTTTTACCTAATCTGTGTATAATTTATATTACTTATGCATTTATAGCAATTTATAATGGCATTAAGAATAATGAAGTCCAAAAGATACTAATGATCCAAGTTGCAAGTAGTATGATCAAGACTGTGCTAAGAATGGTTTCGGAGTAGCAGCCGTGTTAGTCTGTATTCGCAAAAAGAAAAGGAGTACTAGTGCACCTTAGAGACTAACCAATTTATTTTTCTTCCCCCACCCCTATAGATAGGGTTACACATATTGATAAAGATGTTTATGTAATACAATTTATGACATTTTAAATGTATAAGAATTTGAACACAAGTTTCCTCCTGAGCAAATAAAGCTCATAGTACTGATACCTTTTTAACAACTTCAAGGTAAATAGTGAGTTTTGCCCATGCCTGACAGCACTTCATTTCCACCCCCC